TTTGAGACGGTGTTTTGCTCTTTTTGCTCAGGCTGGAGTGCAGTGGCTCGATCTATGCTCACTGCAGCCTCCACCTCCCAGGTTCAAGTAATTCTCCTGCCTCGCCTCCTGAGTAGCTGGGATTATAGGCACATAAACCACAAATGGCCAACTTTGTATTTTTAGTAGAGACAAGGTTTCACCATGTTGGTCAGTCTGGTCTCAAACTCCTAACCTCAGGTAATCTGTCCACCTCAGCCTCCCAAATTGCTGGGATTATAGGCGTGAGCCACTGTACCTGGCCAGATTCTTCACATACAAGTTAGTTACATAAAATATAAAGGTCATTGTAGTGAAGAACAGAGGGAGAAGAGCAAAAGCAGATGTCAAAATGTGATTTACTAGGTTGTATAGTTAAGTAAGCATTGCTATTTAGTATGATTTTTTAATAAATGTAGGATTGCCTAAACTACATAAAATAGTTCATTTAATTCTCACAATACACGTAGATATGATATGATGAGGAACTATGCATCAGAAACATCCTGCCATTTCTTCAAGTTTTCATAACCAGTGAGTGGCAGAGCCATTCACAAACTTATTTCCATTAGACTCTCTAAGCCTTTCATTTTCCACTATTTCACATCACTTCCAAATAAGTACATTTCTGAACTAGCCAAACCAGGACTGTTGAAGCCTATATATTCTATATGGCTCTTGGTTTGAAACAGCTGCTGACCAATAATACACCTTGTTTTAGATTGGTTTTCTTCAATAACCTTTGCAGGAAAATAAATCAAATAATTTCCACATGCTGTTCCTAGGTTTCTCCCAATGTATATTTTTATTAGTCATTCTAGCTTCTGAAATTTTGTACTACATTCTTGGAAGAAATTATTATGCCCATATTTATTATAATTAATTAATCTTTCAGCAATTCAAGTAGCACTGTCAAGTTTCAACTGAGAATATTCTAGTCATGTGGCCCAATCATTCATTTTGCTGTAACATGACATTTGCCTGTGCTAAGCTGTCTTCATTCTAGAGATATCTAGTGAAATATGCTACCACAAACCACATCCTAGTGAGAAATTCCAAAGTGGTTCTGCATACGCCTAACAGTAGCCTAGGAAACATTTCATTAAGTAACTTATTACTTACAATAATAAACCAAACAACTCATTTCAACTGACATCTATTCTTTTTCACCCTTCCTGAATCACTCATGATATTGTGGCCTATTTGTGATTTTCTGGTAAAACTTAAGCTTCTTTAAGGCCAAAACACTTGAAATACTCAATACTGGATAAAGTTTCCTATGCTACCACCATTATAACCACTACTACTGTTGCCACCCAGAGTCACAATATGCAAAGAGTAGGCTCTTCAAATTCTTGGTGTTACTTCCTTTGTTTCTAGTTCAGCTAATTATTCCCTTCAATTCTAGTGTTAGACAGGTAGTAATGATCTTCCCTTGCCTGGTATAATCTCTTCTCTGTATACCTACTCAAATAATATAAAAAAAAATTAGGGTCCCAGGTTAAACTTTAGAGCCCACAAAAGTGTGAGTTTTAACAAATTGCTTATTTGGTGCCAAAATCATAGATGATTTACCATACAGACATTTCACTGAAAAATTAACATATTGTGCAGATATGAAGCCCACAAAATTTAATGGACTTTTTTTTAAAACATATATTGACTGTATTAGTATGTTCTCACGCTGCTGTGAAGAAATACTCAAGACTGTGTAACATATAAAGGAAAGAGCTTTAATTGACTCTCAGTTCCACAGTGTTGGGAGGTCTCAGGAAACTTACAGTCATGGTGGAAGGGGAAGCAAACACATCTTTATTCATATGGCAGTATCAAAGTGAAGTGCAGATCTAAGTGGGGGAAAAGCCTCTTATAAAACCATCAGATTTCATGAGAACTCCACTCACTATCACAAGAACAATTTGGGGAAAACAGCCCCCATGATTCAGTTATCTCCATCTGGCCCTGCCTTTGAAATGTAGGGATTATTACAACTTAAGATGAGATTTTAGGTGGGGACACAGCCAAACTCTATCATGTACCATAAATTACTGTTTTCTTATTATATAATAAACATTGACATAACTGCTCAAAAGAGCAAAATACATATAGTAGAATTTAAAAAGTCCTTAGACTTTATAAATCTCTGGAATTTTAAACATTTAACAATGAGTTGTTCATTACATTTAATAAGTATTTAATTATCTATATATCATGCTCTGTTTTTTCTTTTTATAATTTAAGCTTAAAAGTAAATTTTAAATGTAAGCTTCATCATAGAAATATTTAACTTAGAGCTTTGGCGTTGGATTTTCAAAGCTTTTTTTCATTTCTGACCTTTGTTTAATGAGTGGATTTTATTTATTTTTATTTTTTTAACTTTTATTGTAAGTTCAGAGGTGCAAGTGCAGGTTTGTTCCAAAAGTAAACTTGTATCATTATAGCTATTACTTAAAAGAGAGAAAGCATGATGGAAACAATAGAAAATAGGCAGGAGTACCTCTGGATAGCCTGGAGAATGTAGTCAAGATTTCCAATATGACCTTAGCCAGACCATTTATAATTTGCTTCAACTTTCATATCAAAAATGAAAGCTATTGTTGGTTTGTTTTTGCAGGGTTTTCTGAGGTTGTTGTTTCAGTAGCTTATTGTTGCTTTTCTCTAAATCTGAGGCTCTCAAATGAATCCAAAAGTTTGTTTTAATGCAAGGTGAATTTTATTTTTCTGCAGGTATTTTATGGATATCGTGCCTTTAAATGAAGGTATATATGGATATTTAAAAATGAAATAAAAAAAATGAAAGCTTATCCAGTCTCAAACTGAGATGTATCTTAGTGAACATAAATTTCAAGGTCAACAGAAATTTGTAGACTATTACCTGTCTCTTTATATTTATAACCCTGGTATTTTTTACCTATGAATGAAAATGCATTGAATCTGAGTACCTCTTGACTTTAAAATTTAAATGATCACATTTGTGGCTGCCTTTTAAGATTAGCTCGCTTTGATCACTTCTGTTCTTTCTGATGATTCCTTCACTGATGTTATTAAAAATAATTTCTAAAATATTTATGAAGGAATAGACCTATAGTACCTCTTTTCTTTCTACTGAAAAAAAAAAAAACAGAAAGTTTGTGCCTAATATTTCTTTTTCTTTCTAGGTGCACATGTTTTAGAGTAGTAGTCTTTAAAAAGATAAGCAAATTGAGTAACTAAAAAAAAATGAGGAGGTGATAACATTTTACTATTAAAAATTTTATTTTTAGTAAACATATGTCACCTTTTGAAAAGGTGACATATGATATTTGTTCATCCCCTATTTTGAAATGGATCTAATCCTGTTAAAAAGAAAAAAAAAAGATTCCATATTTTAGAAAGAAATGTATAAATAAAAAGTTTTTTCTTTTTAAAAATATATTTAATTCTGAAACCTGGAAATTTTATTTTACATAGTTTTCAAAGCAGATAAACTTCTAAAACCAATGGTCTATAAACAAGGAATTGACCAGTCTATGATTATAAATTTGATACCCACTGTCAATATCTTATAATTGCAATTATAGAATTATGAGATTATTAAAAGAGAATGGATATGCTATTAAATTCAGTGTCAAAAGTTAAAACCAAATGCTCACGAAGAAGAAAAAACATTATTTCATGGATTCCAGGTAGTACAGCAAGAGCAAAAGTCATCTGAGTTATCAGAAGACCAACTTGTTTGTTGAGCAAGCAATCATTAATTGCTTATAGTGTGAAGAGAATCTTACTAATCTCTTTTATAAACATATGAATGAAAGATCATAGTCCCTAAAAATTAATAGCAAAGAGCCCCTGACCTAGTATAGGTAGGTTGGGAAAACTTTCCCAAGATAGAAACATTTAAATGAAAATATAAAGAATATGTAGGAATTACTATATGTTCTAATGTGATGGAGGAAGGTATTCCAGGTAGTGGGAACAATTTGTACAACGATCCTAAGATACAGAGATCATGAAGCATTAGAAAAACTAAAAGAATTTCATTATAGACAGAGTGTAGACTGAGCAGGGTGAGGTGGTAAGGCTACTGTCCTGACATTTTTTACAGATTTTGCAAAATTAAATCAATGACTCATGAAGCAAAACTTTAAAAAATTTTAGCAGACTTCAGTTTCTATGATAATTCTAATTCTAGATGTCTCTTCTTCACTGGTTGATATTTGAAAAGCCCTGAATACAATGCATAGCCTTAGGTTGAAAACATTATTTTCAATAATTAAAGTATCTCTTAAACTTATTTCTAATAGCTTTTTCTGTCTTCAGCGTGCGCGCATGCACGCACACACACGCACACACACACACACACACACACACACACACACACACACAAACACACACACAGAATTTTGTTGTCTCATCTTTCCAGGAGATTCAAATCATCTTTGCTGTCTTCCTTTTCCCCATTACACTAGATTTAAAGAAAACTTCAATTTAATTAGAGCAAACACATTCCAAATCCCCCAACAACCACAAAACTCCTTGAAAGCTACGAGTAAATGAATATACACAAGTTGGAGTTGATTTTATTTCTTCAGGCCTGTGGATTTTATCCCTGTCCAGAGTTTTATTGGTGTTTCCATGTTCACTTTTAAGACTCTAGGTCTTAACTGTGGAAATATTATAGCTTCATGGGGAAGGAATGTTAAGTGGAAATGTCTGCATGCCAGAAAACACACAGTGACATTTTACATAACAGTCACACAAACAAGATTATTTTTGTGGTAATTTATAAAATATCAGTTCTATTTCTGTTATATCCAGATATAAGCTGCCCAATAAATGTGGATAAGAGGATATAATAAATGTCTTAGAAGATAACAGCAAACGTGGAAAATGCGCTTTGATGTTATTCTGTTCTTTAAAAATTATTCTTGAAAATATACTATGTGTCAATGCATTAGATGCTTCTCATGTGTGATGCTATATAATTCTTAACATGATTCTAGGACGTGGTATTATTATTCCCATTTGATAGATGATGAAAGATGAGGCCTACACAGTTTCACCAGCCAGCACCAAGTTAACAGGTGACAGAACCAAGATTCACTTGCAAGACTTTCTAACTTAAAATCCCTTGCCCTTAATACCATTTTTTTCTAGAAGAGCTCCATTTCTTTTGTTTTTGATCTTAAATTTTAAAGTGCTTTGATAATTGTACATCAGTTACTCTACCCAAAAGTTAATCTCCCTGTAAATAATACATAGTATATCACTGTACAATGGAGGATTGTACTGATTCTCTTCAAAACAGACATTTCATTGGTCCTTAAAAAAAAAAGAAATAATCATTTTTCTACCACATTTGTTATTTCCTCTTTGTTGTTCTTCTTCCTAAATGCAGGCATTATTATTCCTTCACTAACTCTGAACTGTTTTTTTTAATAATCATATCCAAATACATGGTTTTAAATGTGACTGTAATAAAAATCAGTCCCAAAACTCGACCGCCAGTCATCTGCCTTGGATTTTAGTCCTCTATTATAAGTAACCTGAATGCCAACCAGGTTTATAACATTTAAGTCATATTTTATTCCTTCTTTCCTGTCACTGTTTGATAGCAGTGATAGGAGCGCTGTCATATTGCTTGCTCCATTTTTATTTTAAAACAAAGTCCAAATTTAATTCAAGGAAAAGTTAATACATCATTAGTTAACCCTATAAACTAGTTTTCTTTAACAGATTATCATAATTTTTCATTAAACAATAAGTATTTATATTTCAATACACATCACATCTTGACCATGTACTTTTTATAATCTTTTTTCTTTGTGATTTCCAGTAATGGTAGAGTGATGCCTTTGCTGGATCTATGATCTGGTAGGTTTTTTAAAAAAGAAAAAATAAGAATTTTTTTGGTCCAATGTAGTTCCATGATTGGAATGTAATTTGTCTTACATATTCCTTGAAAGACTTTCCAGCAAAATCAATGGCTCTGATTTCTTACGCTCATGACCTTTTCTCCTTGTTCACTATTCTTATATTGGATAAAACTGACTTCTCATCATTTTGACAGCCCCCAAACTGCTCTCTGTTCCTGCAGTAGATATATATTTAGTGGCTTGCCCACATTTTAGTGTACATCTATTACTCAGCACTCTATTGCAACTGTGGAAATTTTTAGGAGGATTATAGGTCAAGGTTTTCTACTCTCCCCACAGTGAAGAGATGTACTTGTAATGGTCAAGAAGTTATTTTTATCCTACCTCATGACACTCCCATGGTTTCTGGGAGTTCCTGTCATTTGCTCAGTCTTCCTATCAATTCTGTGAGCTAACCTGAGATTCTTTAAATATATTCCTTTTTGCTAAAGTTAAACCTCAACAGACACACCTCTCTAGGGTAGCCTCTATAATCCATTTTGTGAACAGCTGTCTTGTTTATATTCTCATTTATAAATATAGCCAAAAGCTTAAAAGTTTGTGGACTCAGAGTAAAACAGTACTAAGAAACAGAGTATATTAAATGCAAAGATAGAATGATACCTATAAACCTAAGACCTCATAAAAATATATTTTCATCTTTCTCAAGAAAATTGACCCAACAATTGCAACACTAGTGTTCACCTTCAACACTAGTAAGTACAAATTATGTACTTACTAGAATTTCCTCTCTAATACTATTCTCCACGAAAAGACAGGAGGAGTGATTCCACTTCTTCATGTAGGAAAATTCAGAGTAGGTCTGAAGCTTTCAATTGTAAATTAAGATTGCTTTAAAGAATGACAGAGACAGTACTCTGTCTCTGTAAACCCCAATAACTCTACTAACAAAATTACTCCCCAGAACACTACAAGCAATAGCTTGAAACTCAAAGGACCTGGCGGTGCTTTACATCCGTCTAGAGGAGCCTGTTCTGTAATTGATATACCCCGATAAACCTCACCACCTCTTGCCCCCAGCCTGTATACCGCCATCCTCAGCAAACTCCCTAAAGATCGTAAAGTAAGCAGAAGTATTACCATAAAAACGTTAGGTCAAGGTGCAGCCAATGAAGTGGAAAGAAATGGGCTACATTTTCTAATCTAGAAAAATTACACGATAGCCTTTATGAAATTTAAAGGCCCAAGGTGGATTTAGCAGTAAATCAAGAATAGAGAGCTTGACTGAAGCAAGGCCATTAAGCACGCACACACTGCCCGTCACCCTCATCAACCATCATGTAGAGAAATATATTAACAATTAAGCCGCTTCATATTGATGTAGAGGGGATAAGTCGTAACATGGTAAGTGTACTGGAAAGTGCACTTGGACGAATCAAAGTGTAGCTTAAATTAAAGCAACCGGCCTACACCCGGAAGATCTCGCAACAACTGATCACTTTGAGCTAACCCTAGCCCAAACCCAATCTATCTATATTAATATCCAAATTTAATAACCAAATCATTTACCTACTATAAAAGTATAGGTGATAGAAATTATACCCGGGCGCAATAGATAAAGTACCGTAAGGGAAAGAAAAATCCTAACAAAGCATAAAAAAGCAAAGACAAACCCTTATACCTTGTGCATAATGAATTAACTAGAAATAACTTTATACAAAGAATTTAAATAAAGCTCCCCGAAACCAGACGAGCTACCCAAAGATAGCTAAAAGAGCACACCCGTCTATGTAGCAAAATAGTGGGAGAATCTATGGGTAGTGGCGACAAACCTACCGAGCCTGGTGATAGCTGGTTGTCCAAGACAGAATCTTAGTTCAACTTTAAATTTACTTACAGAACCATTTAATCCCCTCGTAAATTTAACCGTTAATCTAAAGAGGGACAGCAATTCAGACCCTAGGAAAAAACCTTACTATAGTGAGTAAAACATTTCACTACCATAGTTGGCCTAAAAGCAGCCATCAATTAAGAAAGCGTTCAAGCTCAATATCCAAACACCCTCTAATTCCATTAACCTCACTGAACTCCTAAAACACATTGGACCAATCTATTATATAATAGAAGCAATAATGTTAGTATAAGTAACATGAAACTATTCTCCCCGCATAAGCTTATTAGAGACCGAAACAACTACTGCTAGTTAACAGTCCAATCATTACAACCCACAACTTAATATCCCATTACTAAACAGTTAACCCAACACAGGCATGCGCCCAGGAAAGATTAAAAAAAGTAAAAGGAACTCGGCAAACTTTACCCCCGCCTGTTTACCAAAAACATCACCTCTAGCATTATTAGTATTAGAGGCACTGCCTGCCCGGTGACACATGTTTAACGGCCGCGGTACCCTGACCGTGCAAAGGTAGCATAATCACTTGTTCTCTAAATAGGGACTTGTATGAACGGCAACACGAGGGTTTAACTGTCTCTTACTTTTAATCAGTGAAATTGACCTATCAGTGAAGAGGCGGATATGCATAAACAAGACGAGAAGACCCTATGGAGCTTCAATTTAATAGTACAAACTAACACATTAAAAACCAACAGGCATTAACATACCATTGATGTATTATAAATTTCGGTTGGGGTGACCTCGGAGTACAGCACAACCTCCGAAAACACAAACCATGACCTAACTAGTCTAAGTAAACTACACTCATTGACCCAATAACTTGATCAACGGACTAAGTTACCCTAGGGATAACAGCGCAATCCTATTTTAGAGTCCATATCGACAATAGGGTTTACGACCTCGATGTTGGATCAAGACATCCCAATGGTGTAGCCGCTATTAAGGGTTCGTTTGTTCAACGATTAAAGTCTTACGTGATCTGAGTTCAGACCGGAGAAATCCAGGTCGGTTTCTATCTATTAAAGATTCCTCCCAGTACGAAAGGACAAGAGAAATAGGGCCCACTTCACTAAGCGCCCTCACAAGCCAGATGACTAATATCTTAACCTTATAGATTAATATGCATAGCCCAAAAACAGGGCTTGTTAGGATGGCAGAGCCTGGTAATTGCATAAAACTTAAAACTTTATAATCAGAGGTTCAACTCCTCTTCTTAACAATATGTTTATAATTAACCTACTCTTACTAATTACCCCAGTCCTAATTGCTATAGCATTCTTAACACTTATAGAACGAAAAATCTTAGGCTATATACAACTCCGCAAAGGCCCCAATATTGTAGGCCCATATGGGGTACTCCAACCAATCGCCGATGCAATAAAACTCTTTACAAAAGAACCCCTACTACCCAGTACATCTACCACAACCCTATATATAACCGCCCCAGTTCTAGCCTTAACCATTGCCCTTCTTCTATGAACTCCCCTCCCTATACCGTACTCCCTAATTAACTTTAACCTAGGTCTTTTATTTGTACTGGCAACATCAAGTCTAGCTGTTTACTCAATTCTATGATCCGGATGAGCATCCAACTCAAATTACGCATTAATTGGCGCACTACGAGCCGTAGCCCAAACCATTTCATATGAAGTTACCCTAGCCATTATTCTACTATCAACACTACTAATAAGCGGCTCCTTCAATCTGCAATCACTAATCACAACACAAGAACAATCCTGACTTCTACTACCATCATGACCCCTAACCATAATATGATTTATTTCCACACTGGCAGAAACCAATCGAGCCCCTTTTGACCTAACAGAAGGTGAATCAGAACTAGTCTCAGGCTTTAATATTGAATATGCCGCAGGTTCATTCGCCCTATTCTTTATAGCAGAATATATAAACATTATTATAATAAATGCTCTAACTACTACCATTTTTACAGCAACACCCTACAATATACTCACAACAGAACCTTATACTATAAATTTCATAACCAAAACACTTCTACTAACTACCCTATTTTTATGAATTCGTACAGCATACCCTCGTTTTCGCTACGACCAATTAATGTACCTCCTATGAAAAAAATTTCTACCACTCACACTGGCACTATGTATATGATATATTTCAATGCCTACACTACTATCCGGTGTCCCACCCCAAACATAAGAAATATGTCTGACAAAAGAATTACTTTGATAGAGTAAACTATAGAGGTTTAAATCCTCTTATTTCTAGAATTATAGGACTCGAACCTATTCCTAAGAACTCAAAATCCTCCGTGCTACCTATTACACCATACTCTAAACAGTAAGGTCAGCTAAATAAGCTATCGGGCCCATACCCCGAAAATGTTGGTCCAATCCTTCCCGTACTAATATTAATCCCCTAGCCCACCTAATTATTTCCCTAACTATCCTAATAGGGACCATAATCACAACTCTAAGCTCACACTGATTCCTAGTATGAACAGGCTTAGAACTAAACATATTAGCTATCGTACCCATACTCGCTAAAAATATAAACCCCCGCTCCACAGAAGCATCCACTAAATATTTCCTAACACAAGCATCCGCATCCATAATCCTTCTAATAATTATTTTTCTCAATAACTTACTCTACGGACAGTGAACAATTAATCCACCTCCTAATCAAATCCTATCTACAATAATATTAATTGCTCTCGTATTAAAACTAGGCATAGCTCCCCTTCACTTCTGACTGCCAGAAGTAACCCAAGGCATTCCCCTAATTCCCACTATACTTATCCTTACATGACAAAAACTAGCCCCCATATCAATTATTATTCAAATCTTCCCATCTATCAACTCAGATACCCTACTAATAATCTCACTTATATCAATCATAATTGGCAGCTGAGGAGGACTGAACCAAACACAACTACGCAAAATTCTAGCCTACTCCTCAATTACCCACATAGGATGAATAATAGCAGTACTATACTATAACCCAAACATTACCACCTTAAGTTTACTTATTTATATCTTCCTAACAATTTCCACACTCACAACTCTCTACCTAAACTCAAATACAACAACCCTATCATTATCCCACACCTGATATAAACTCACATGAGTAATACCAATAATCCCAATAATAATAATATCCTTAGGAGGCCTCCCCCCACTAACAGGCTTCTCCCCCAAATGAGCTATTATACAAGAAATCACAAAAAATAACAGCCTTATTCTCCTTCTTACTATAACTATACTCACACTAATAAACCTATATTTCTACATACGCCTAACATATTCAATTTCAATAACAATATTTCCCACATCCGATAGCACAAAAATTAGCTGTCAACTAAAATATTTAAAACCAACACCACTTCTATCCCCCCTCATAATTTCTTCCTCCCTCCTACTACCTATCACACCACTAATGTTAATGACCTAGAAATTTAGGTTAATAAGACCAAGAGCCTTCAAAGCCCTTAGTAAGTAGGTTTTACTTAATTTCTGCACCATTCTAAGGACTGCAAACTATACCTTGCATCAATTGAACGCAAATCAATTACTTTAATTAAGCTAAGCCCTCCCTAGACTGATGGGACTTTAACCCACAAAAATTTAGTTAACAGCTAAATAACCTAGTCAACTGGCTTCAATCTACTTCTCCCGCCGTAAAGGAAAAAAAGGCAGGAGAAGCCCCGGCAGCATTGAAGCTGCTTCTTTGAATTTGCAGTTCAACATGACAGTTCACCTCAGGGCTGGCAAAAAGAGGGTCGCTCCTCTGTCTTTAGATTTACAGTCTAATGCTTACTCAGCCATTTTACCTTCTACTTATGTTCATAAATCGCTGACTATTTTCAACTAACCATAAAGATATTGGTACACTGTATTTAATATTCGGTGCATGAGCTGGAGCAGCAGGAACAGCCCTAAGTCTTCTAATTCGAGCTGAGCTGGGCCAACCAGGAAGCCTAATAGAAGACGACCATGTTTACAATGTTATTGTTACCTCTCACGCATTCATTATAATTTTCTTCATGGTAATACCAATCATAATTGGTGGCTTCGGGAATTGATTAGTGCCTCTAATAATCGGCGCCAATTGTAAATTAAGATTGCTTTAAAGAATGACAGAGACAGTACTCGGAAAAAAAAAAAAAAAGTAGACTATTGAAAGGGTCTGCTCTGGGCCAAATTAAACAATTTAATTTTTTATTATGGATTATTAAAAAATAATTAAGTCTATGAAAGAATATGTAATGCTACTGACATAAAACTTTAACACAAAGTATTCAAGGTAATAATTGAATATATAAGAATGATGATGATAGAATACACTTACGCAATCATTCTTTTTCATAAGAAGAAAGTTGTACATTGACATAGGAATTGTTAAAATGTTTTAAAGGCACTT